AACCCACGAACGTGCCGACAGTTTCGCATATCGTAGCCATCAAGGGCACCGCGAGCTATAGTGGTGATCAGCGTATGACGTACCTCCGCTGGGCCTTCCAGGAGCCCACGAAAGTGCAAACAGTTTCGCGGATCGCAGCCACCCAAGGCACCGCGAGCTATAGTGGTGGTCCGCGTATGACGTACCTCGCTGGGCCACCCAGGAGCCCACGAAAGTGCGGACGGTTTCGCAGATCGCAGCCACCCAGGGCACCGCCAGCTGTAGTGGTGATCTGCGTGTGACGTACCTCCGCTGGGCTTCCCAGGAGCCCACGAAAGTGCCGACGGTTTCGCAGATCGCAGCCACCAAGGGCACCGCGAGCTATAGTGGTGGTCCGCGTATGACGTACCTCGCTGGGCCACCCAGGAGCACACGAAAGTGCGGACAGTTTCGCAGATCGCAACCACCCAGGGCACCGCGAGCTAGAGTGGTGATCTGCGTATGACGTACCTCCGCTGGGCCTCCCAATAGCCCACGAAAGTGCCGACGGTTTCGCAGATCGCAGCCACCTAGGGCACAGCGAGCCATACTGGTGATCTGCGAATGACGTACCTCCGCTGGGCCTCCCAAGAGCCCACGAAAGTGCCGACAGTTTCGCATATCGTAGCCATCAAGGGCACCGCGAGCTATAGTGGCGATCTGCGTATGACGTACCTCGCTGGGCCTCCCAGGAGCCCACGAAAGTGCCGACAATTTCGCAGATCACAGCCACCCAGGGCACCGCGAGCTATAGTGGTGGTCCGCGTATGACCTCCGCTGGGCCTCCCAGGAGCCCACGAAAATGCCGACAGTTTGGTAGGAGAGAAGGAGGGGAGGAGAGGGGAGGAGGAAGGAGGAAGGGGAACGGGGCGACCACACTGTTCTATCCAAAACGAGAACTCAACACAGGAGGGTTGGGGGATTGATGGGGGGGTCGCCAACCAAGCTCAGCCAACAGGTAAGGCCACCTCCACGGGGCGCGAGCGGATCCTGCAGGATATGGTGCTCTGGTTACGCCCTATGTGCGCTGAGCCGCGCTACTCCGAGGCAGGGATGTATCCGTAACTGCCGCCTGGGGATCAATCTTCGGGGGCTTGGAATCTTCGAGGGGCTCAGAAGGCGGTGGAGATGGATATCGTAGTGAGGGGGCCGAACGTCAGTCACTGCCCCTGGATGCGTGGCTGAAGTGGGGGTCCGCGGTTGACATTGTTGTTGCGTTGCTTGTTCTTGTTGTTGTTGTTGTTGTTGAACTCGCATTTCTGAATAATAAGTATTGTTGTTCCCCCCATCAGGTGCCTTTTCTTCGATTGAAGTGCCCTTCCTGGGGCTCGCATTTTTTATCAGGGGAAGTCTCGAGGGTCAAACTGTGCCGTTGGCCCCAGGTTTACAACAACAACAACAACAACGGTTCCGGCCTGACACTTCCTCACAATGTATTGACGAATCGAGCTCTCGCTTGGGACCTCCTTGCAATTTACCACCGGATCGCGGCTCCCGCTTGATACTTCCTGACAATGTATGAAAGAATCGCGCTCTCACTTGGGGCTTCCGCGCTCCTCTCGACACGGTTGCAGTTCTCACTATCCTTCCCCCCGCTCTCCCAACATCCTGCTTCTTTTCAGGGTTCCACGATTTTGTTGATACCAGTTCGCAGCTGTACGTCCCCCCGAGGGGGTATCCACGATATGTTCTTTCAAGGGGGTGGTACGTGGCGCTGTTTATGGCGCGACCCATGGCGAAACTTACTGTTAACCTGTGTTGGAGTGGCTGGCGCAAGCTGAATCGCCACTCGCAGCGCAAAACATCGTCCTCCCCCCTTCTTGCCCCTCCCCCCCCTTCCTCCGATCCCTTCGTCCTCATTCCCCCCCGTTATCTGTTGCCCTCTGTTTTCAAGGGCTTCACCAACCACGCGTGGCAGGGAATGAATATGCCCTCCCAGAAGGGGTTCGATCGAAGACGAAGAGGGCGGGTATCCAGGGTTTGGGATATGCATATTGAATGACACGCGGGCAGATACTAGCGAAAAGTCTTAAAATGATTGTTGTTAATTTGCTGCCGGTGCTGAACTCTCACTTATGCAAAAAATAACTGTTGTTGATCCCCCCATCACCAGTGCATGCTGTTTTTTCTCTATCAAAATGTGCTCCTCGACGCTCGCACCCTGTTTTTTGACAGGGGAAATCTTGGTACTCAAACTTGGCCCCTGGCCCCCCGGATTACAACAAGAACGGTTCCCGCTGAGACTTCCTTCGAATGTACTCAGGACCCCCGCTCCTGAGACTTCCTCACAATTTACTCAGGATCGGTGTTCCCGCCTGTGACTTCCTTGCAATTTACTGAGGACCCCCGCTCCAATTTGAGACTTCCTCACAATTTGCTCAGGGCCGGCGCTCCCGCTTGAGACTTCCTCGCAATTGAATCAGGACTTCCTCGCAATGTAATTAAGACCCTCGCTCCCGCCAGAGATCCCTTCACATGTTCTTCAAGAAGTGCGCTCTCGCCTGTGACTTCCATGCGTTTTAATCAGGAATCGCGCTTTCGACGCTCAGGAAACACGCTGCGCCAAGGACGCCGCTACAATTGACTTCGTAATCGCGCTCTCGCCATACTCAGGCATCCCGCTTGAATGTCCCACCCGCCCGACCCGCCCTTCAGGGGATCGCCCGCCCGTCGTGGGCTCCCGCCCGAGACTTCCTTCAGGAACGGCGTTTTCGCCTAGGATTTCCTCGACCGTTCACGCTCTTACCTTCCTGCTCTGCCGTGTCCCCTCTCCCTCCTCTCCTCCTCCCTTCTCCCTCCCCTCTCCTGTCTCCCCCCTCCCTCTTTCATTCTCTCTCTCTCTCTCTCTCTCTTTTTTTTTCTCTCTCTCTCTCTCTCTCCTCTCTCTCTCTCTCTCCCTCTTTCTTTACCTCTCTTCTATGTCATTATCTCTCTCTCTCTCTCTCTTTCTCTCTGCCTCTAATCAACCGCCCCCCTCTTTGTTCCTTCTCTCCTGGCGTTTTCCCTTTTCCTTCGTCCCTCCCCCTCCTTTCCTCCCACTTTCCCTCGTTCTTCCCCTCCTCTTTTTACAGGGCCCACACCAATTCCAATGGCGGGCACATGTACGCCCACGAAGGATTGTCCGCCCGTTCAGGTTCGCCCGCCTGTCTAAGCCCGCCGCCCGCCGCAAAGAGAACGAATCCCCCCAAAGTGGGTGTGATCGAAGACGAAGAGGGCGGGTATCCTGGGTATGGGGGACTTGTTTTGAATGACACGCGGGCAAGTAAGAGCGAACAGTCTTCAAATTATTGTTGTTGTTGTTGAACTCTCATTTTTGAAGAAGAATTATTGTTGATCCCACTCACCGGTGCATACTTTTTGTTCTCCATCAAAGTCTGCCCCTCGACGCTCGCACCCTGTTTTTTGACAGGGGAAATCTTGGTGTTCAAACTGGGCCCTGGCCCCCCGGATTACAACAAGAACGGTTCCCGCTGAGACGTCCTTCAAATGTACTCAGGACCCCCGCTCCTGAGACTTCCTCACAATTTACTCAGGATCGGTGTTCCCGCCTGTGACGTCCTCGCGATGTAGTCAGGACCCCCGCTCCCGTCTGAGACTTCCTCACAACTTGCTCAGGGACGGCGCTCCCGCTTGAGACTTCCTCGCGATTGAATCAAAACTTCCTCACAATTTAATCAAGACCCCCGCTTCCGCCAGAGAGCCCTTCACACATTATTCAGGAAGTGCGCTTTCGCCGGTGACTTCCATGCACTTTAATCAGAAATCGCGCTTTCGACGCTCAGGAAACACGCTGCGCCAAGGACGCCGCTACAATTTACTTCGTAATCGCGCTCTCGCCATACTCAGGCGTCCCGCTTGGATGTCCCACCCGCCCGACCCGCCCGTCGGGGGATCGCCCGCCCGTCGTGGGCTCCCGCCCGAGACTTCCTTCAGGAACTGCGCTTTCGCTTCGGACTTCCTCGACCGTTCACGCTCTTACCTTCCTGTTCCTCCTCCCTCTCCCTCTTCCCTCCTCCGTCCTTTCCTCCCTTTTGTTTCCCTCCTCTCTTCCCTCATCATTATGCCTCTCTGCCCTATCCCCTCTCCCTCCTTTCCCTCCTCCCTTTTCCCTCCCCTCTCCTGCCTCCTCTCTCTTTATTTATTTCTCTCTCTCTCTCTCTCTCTTCTCTCTCGCTCTCTCCCCTCTCTCTGTCTCTCTTTCCCTACCCCTCGTATATGTGTTTCTCTCTCTCTCTCTCTCTTTCTTTCTCTCTGCCTCTAATCAATCGCCCCCCTCTTCGCTCCTTCTCTTCTGACGTTTTCCCTCTTCCTTTGTCCCCCTCCCTCCCTTCCTCCCACTCTCCTTCGTTCTCCCCCTCCTCTTTTGCAGCGCCCACACCAATTCCAATGGCGGGCACATGAACGCCCACGAAGGATTGTCCGCCCGTTCAGGTTTGCCCGCCTGTCTAAGCCCGCCGCCCCCTGCAAAGAGAATGAATCCCCCTAAAGTGGGTGTGATCGAAGACAAAAAGGGCGGGTATCGAGGGTGTGGGGAACTCGTTTTGAATGACACGCGGGCAAGTGAGAGCGAACAGTCTTAGACTGATTGCTGTTGTTGTTGTTGTTGTTGTTGTTGTTGTTTTTGTTGTTGTTTGTTCTCGTCGTCGGCGTCGTCCCACTATCGACCCGGCACGCGACCCGCCCGCGACCCGGCCCGCGACCCGCCCGCGACCCACCCGCGCGCGACCCACACGCGACGCACCCGCGACCCACCCTGCGCCCGCCCCTTCGCTCTTATCCGCCACTGCGGGGTGCTACATACAGTCATCGTGCTACCATGAAAAAAAACGCGTAAGAAGGAACGGAAGGGGCTTTTCTGGCCACGGCGGGCCTAGGCCAAAAGCAAGTCCCAAGACACAAATCTAAGGAACAACCCGAAAACTCAAGCCCCTTCTGAGCCCAACCAAATTGGTCCTTATTGCAGCGTCTTGGCTTTGTTTTGCTTCGTGACGCTGGAGATGCAAGGCAGGGCTGTGCACACTTTGGCTTGCACAGCTCGCAGAAGGCAATTCGTGGCACGGACGCCGGTGATGGCAGGGAGAAGTGCTCGAGCGGCAGCATTTAGCCAAGGTGCCGAGATTCCCAGACGTTCGACAGGCCTTGAAATTGCCAGAGAAGGTCCAAGCGGAAGGAGGCGTGGCAGGAGATGGATCAGCGCGAACTGCAGCGAGCGCAGCTGTCAAGCCCAGTGTATTACTTAAAGCTACGTAGCGCTCGACTCGGTGGCCGACGTTGTGGTCGTGGAGCTCGAAGCGGTCCAGGTGGTCGCATATTGCCCGCCACCGCAAGCGCAGCACATGTCAGCAGCAGTGAAATCTTCTTCGTCATAGTAGATCGCCAAATGACAAGCTGATGGCATCCAGTCCCACTTTAGACATCGAAGTGAGGAACCCTGGCCGTTTTCAAAACTAAATTTGGCGGGGACACTGCGGGGCAATCCATCTGTGTCCACGCACGAGCTGGCATTCTGCTTCGTGAGGTCCCCACCGCCGCAAACACAGCAACTCTCTCTTTCGTGATCCCAACAATCAGACCATTCAGAAAAATTAGCGGAAGTGGCGTTTGGGCACGTTGTGTCTCCCGAATCAGTGCAAACAAACTCGTCCTCGTACCCCATGCAAAAGCACGGATAACTCGGACTACAACCGTTTTCTCCGTGCTGATTGGACAGAAGATAGCCCGACCAAGTTTCCACGTAACACCCCAATGGCTCCCACTCGTAAGAAAGGTACTCATACCACGTCCAACTGTAATACGTTTCTCTCTCAGTCGCGGAGGTGGTCTCACTGATGCCAAGTTTTTGTGCAGCGAAAGTACACAGACCAGTGTCCAAGACTGGAATTGGGCAAAATCCAGAAGTTATTTTGTAGAAGGATAGCTCCAAACATGTACCCGAAAAATACGGTTGCCCGGAAAGAGGTCGGATCACACCGACAAATCCAACATCGCACTTGCATCCGTCCGCAACGCTCTCTCCAGTAGAGTTATATGGACACCCAACAGGCTCACAAGTGTCGTCCCCGTCATGGTTGAAGTAGCCAGCATCGCAAGTGGTGCAAGTCTCGGCACGGCGGCGCCTCGTGTCACCGTCTCTGCCACATGGAAGGCAATCGTCGGAGGTGCCGTCGTTATAGTAGCCAGCTGGACACTCGCTTGCAGTGGACGCGCGCCGCCTCGTCGTCCAAACGCCGAGGCACAGCTGGCAATCGTCCTCCATGCCCCCCTCGTTGTACCTCCCAGTCGCGCACTCTGCGCAGAAGACAGACCGCCTGCGGGTCGTGGTGCCTCCCACGCAAGGGCTGCACTCGTCGCTGTCGCCGGCGTCGACATAGCCCGGGGCACAGTCAGTGCAGGACTGGGAGCGTCGCCGCCGGACGGCTCCACCCACGCACGACACGCAGTCGTCCACATTCCCCATGTCGTAAAAGCCGTCGGGGCAGTCCGTGCAGTCGAGCGCCCGCCGCCGCCTCGTCTCGCCGCCGGCGCAGCTGAGACACGTGGGACGCCCGCCATCGTTGTGATACCCAGCAAGGCACTCGTCGCTATAACAAGGGTGCACGTGGGCACACGATGCATTTGCCTCCAAACACTCCGTGAGGACGCAAGCAATGGGGCACTCGCCCATGCCGAACGATGAGTCGCACCCGCAGGCTTTTGGGCAGAAGAACCTCAAATGAGTGTAGACCCCGTCGGCGCACACGTCGAGGTTCAGCAAAGACTTGACCTCGTACGACGCGAGAAAGTCGCAGCCGGACAACCCCCGCGGGTGCGCGAACCCAGGCATCAACTCCCAAGTGCCACTGACCAGAGCCCGCCCCATGGCGCCGGTCGCGACGTGCTCGATGAGGTCGGCCATCATGCCCTCGTCGGGATTGATCCCAGCGTAGTCTTTCTCGACGACCTCGGTGACGCTGTCCTGGAATCCTGACAGGCTCATCAAATACTCAAAAAGGCCCCTCACGTAGAACAGGAACGCCCGGGCAGTCCGCGGCATATGCCAGCACATGCTTTCAAAATTGTCCCAGCAAGAAGCAGAACTCAGGACGTCCTCGCGGCCGCCACCGCAAGCACAGCACAAATCGGCCGCCTGGAAGTCGTCGTCGTCGGCCACGCCGCAGAAAGAGGGGACAGCCGTGTACACGGAGCAGTCGTTGCCATTCTTGTCGAGTTGCGTCTCCTCGTTCGAGTCAGCGCATCCGCCTGCGAAGGAGAGCTCAGCGCTTGCGAAGTCCGAGCACCCTTGAAACAAAGAGGAGGGAGTCCACTGGTCTGAGCTTGCGTTCTGGGTTTCGTTTGAGTCCTGAGCTGCGCTCAACCCCCGATTTAGAACTGAGAAATCCAATGCTGCGCCCAGCGATTCCGGAGCTTGCAAGCGCCGGCTGGCACTCTCCAGAGTGCTCAGCGCATATCTGAAAGCTATCTCGCTTGTCGCCGCCTTGAATGTCTCGCACTGGCCGGGGCACCCGAAGCTGGCCTTTCCGAAGAAGCCGACGTTACTCAGGAGCGGCTCCTCGCAGCGGCAGTGCCTCGGGCATATGGCGCGAAGCCACGTGCTTTCCTGGGCGGCGCAGAGGTCTCGCGGGATGTCGTCGCAGCTGCTGATGTTGGGGTCGCCCCTGAGCACCCTCAGCGTCTGCACCGATGCCTCGGTGCTCTGGCCAGAGCCCAGATCGCGGCATGGTAGCGTGCTGGCCGCGTCCGAAAGGCTCCACACGCTCATATCGATGATCAAGCCGAACGTCGACTCGTCGACGACCCGGACAAACGTCGATCTAGACGCGTCGAATATGCTCTGGCTCACCCTGCCCTCCCACCCGTCGTTTTCCTCGAGTTCAACCTGCGACGCCTGCGCGATAATCTCCTCGGTGTCGGTGTATACATTCTCCCCCATCGTCTTCGCGACGTGCACCATTTTAGTGGCGGGGTTCTCGGTGTAGACGAAATTCAGGCTGCCCGAGCATACGATTTTCTCGCCCTGGATGATTTGCCAATTGATCGGCAAGACCACGAACATGTAAATACTCGAGATAATGGCCATGACGAAGGCAATGGTGAAAGCGGTGGTCATTCCAGCCAGCCTGGAGCCTGGTTTGCGAGGTGGCATTGGCAGGGGCTCCAAGTTGCAGATCAGCGTCTTGGTTCGCCGAGGCATGAGGACCGAGTACAGCACCTCGTCGAATTCGAGGACGAAAGCGAGCGCCACGCCGTTCAAGATCAGGTTGGAGAAGTTCACCGTGTTGGCTAACCATTTGGCCCCGAACCACCACAAAAGGCTGGCCACCAGCAATTTCGGGAGGCACACGCTGAAGAGAAAGAATGCCACGCGGCCAGGCCACACGGTGACGATGCGCACGACCTTCATGAAGTCGATCAGATGGCCAGTATCCTCTCCCCCGACACCAATGTCAACAGCTCTGTCGTCTTCGTCATCATCCATGTCAGCAATCACGAGCTTTGTCTGGCTCCCCCTCCTGCACTGACACACTGCCCTGAATGTGCTGTATGTATTATCGACATCCTTCAGTATTGTGCAGAGCCATAGGAACTGAATGAATACAACGAGGCACTGAGCTACGACACCTCCACGAACGTAATCGATGAGGTCGGTGTACAGACCCGTCTGCTCACCAGCCAGGTGCAGCTTAGAATCTCCATCGCAGATCTGTTGGGCCATCGATCGTTGCGTCACCTTGTCTGCATACTCGGCTCTGTGCGCCAAACCCAGCCTAAACTTGAGCAGGCCATCAAGTACATCTGCGTCCAGGCTGACAGACTGCGTCATCAGATAAACGATGATCACAATGAACATGAACTGCAGAACCAGGTTGAGAAACCATATGGAGAACATCATCACCGAGTTCGTGAGACCAATCGAGCTGTGCCCGCAGAAGAGCATCGAGTCCCAAACTGACTCGCCAATGGTGTACATGTCCCCACTATCGAGCATGAGTGGAGTCACTAACTTTCTCACATTACTGACCCTGGTGGGTCCACGATTCGGCAAAGGCACCTCGACCTCCTCAGACTCCTCGACCTGGCCGAAAGACGTCGTTTCCTTGCGCCCCTGTCGGATCGCATCCTCCACGGCGCTGATTCGCTTCTCGAGCGCCGCGTCGGCCAGCACTGCCAATGCCCCCTCCACGGCGCGGAGCCTCTCCTCGACCGCCGCGCCAGCGAGCCCGCCGCCTGCCCGGAGCGTGTCCTCCAGGGCACGGACCCTCCTCTCGATCGCCTCGCCCGCGAGCCTGCCGCCCACCGGTTCCACCGACCACGGCCTGGGTGGCCGCGGGCTCAGAGCCGGGCGGCCTGCATGGGGCTCCCGGATCGCGTCATCGGTGCTGCGCGGAGAGGATTCGCTCGGCGCCGCGCCCCCGTCCATCGGCCGCGTGCCAGTCCCAATTTCTGGGGGGCGCACCAGGGACCAGGGAGGGAGGCGGCGCGGGTGGCTGGCAAGGGAGCCAGCGGAGGCGCAAGGCTTCTACCTTGGCTATATGTTCGGGCCCCAGGGGGCTAAGCATATCCAAAACCACCGCCCGCCGAGGCTTTCAAATATCGATCCTGCAGGCTGTGGAAATGGATAACCCCACCCTCGCAACTGCCTGCCGCTTGACGAGCCTCTCCTGGGCTTCGTTATGCCCAGGATTTTAGAGGCGAGCCCAGCCGTTGCGACGAGGGCTTCCCAGGAGGCCAAACAAAAGCGAAAACGAGGGGAGTAGCGGTGGTCCCAGACATCCGACGCTCCGTTGCTTTCGACGCGTGGGCTCCCGGAGGTCTGGACCCTGGGTTTACATCCTGAGTCGTTTCAAGACGGTCCCGAGGCTCGCTGAGGGCCCGCCGAACATAACCAAAAACACCGGCCGCCCCAGTCTTTTCGGAGCCTCGCATCTCTGGGTCGAGGGTTCGATCCTCGAGCCTCGAGCTTGTCGGCCCTGATCCTCCATCCTCCTCTATTCCTTCTCCTTCTAAATAATATCTCCCTGTCGCATCCCAAGGCCAGTTTTTAGGGCGGGTCGGGCGTTTCGCCTGAGACTTCCTCACCTTAACGCATTGAGGGCGACCCGTTTTCAAAAAGTGGTTTTCGTCTTAGCGCCGCACACTTTCGTTTTAAACATTTGTAAGAGCTTCACGGATTGAGGACGACCCGTTTTCAAAGTGTGGCTCTCGCCTTAGCGGCGCGTGCACTCCGTCTAAAAAATTGCAAGAGTTCACGGATTCAGGGCGCCCCTTTTTCAAAATTGGCTTTCGCCTTAGCGCCGCGCACATTCGTTTTAAACATGTCCAAGAGTCTCACGGATTCCCATGATCAGCTTACCCGAAATGGTGTTTGCGAAAGACTCAGGGTGAGGAGGGTGCAGAAGTTACGTTGGTTCGCGTCGTCGACGTCCCAAGCATGGTGTTCTGGCACGATTCAGGGTCGTCAAGACGCAACAATCAGGTTGATACGTGGCGATGGGATCCCGAGAACAATGTTTTGGCATGCTTCAGGGTATTCAAACGGTTCTTCCAACGAGGCAGTTCCCTCAGTGGAAATGAACACATGTAGGGGCCTACGAAGAGAGAGCCTGGAGGGAGGTTGTATTTCAACATCGTTGATGACTCTTGGGTGTACACTGGTCCTCCTCCTCCTCCTCTTCCACCGCCTGCTGGTCCTCATCTTCCCCCTCCTGCTGTATATCCTGTTCCTCGTGCTGTTCGTCTTCCTCCTCGTCCTCCTCCCCCTCCCTCTCCTCCCCCTCGCCGTCCCCCTCCTCCTCCACAATCAAACAATATAAATACTCCTGTCCTCTCTCCCCTGGTGGCGTCGGGGGATTGTTCGGCCATCCTTTCCGCGTATTGTTGTTTGTTACACCGAAGATTCATGGGAAACAGGTTTTCGCTTGGTTTTTTATTTCAAAATGATGCTCTCGCTGAGACGCTGGCCTCATCATTGGGCTACCGCTTGCTCCGAATCGTGCTCCCGCTGCAGCGCCGGCCTAATTTCCGCGCTTCCGCTCGTTTGCTTTAGCGCTGGCGTCATATTTCCAGTGCCATGCTACGGCAGGTCTTTCGGTCCTCCCGAATAGGCCCCGAACCAAAATTTAGAAAATGGCTCCCCTCAAAAACCATCGGAAGTGATTACACATTCGGCATCGATTCGTTAATTTCTGGGGCCGCGGAAGCCCCCACTCTTTGGGGCGTTGCCACGCCATGCTATGTCAAGCTACGCGTCCTCATTTCCGCATTTCCGCGCTTTGATTGTTGTTCAAAATGATGCTCTCGCTGAAACGCTGGCCTCACTTTCGTGCTACCGCTCGTTCCGAATCTGCTCGCTGCAGCGCTGGCCTCATTTCCGCGCTTCCGCTCGCTCCGAATCGAGCTCCCGCTGCAGCGCCGGCGTCATTATTTCCAGCGCCATGCCACGGCGTGGCACTCGGTCCTTCCAAACGGCACCAAAAATCAGAAAATGCCTTCAAACATGCTGCTCTCGCTGAAACACTGTCCTCATTGTGGGGCTTCCGCTCGTTCCGAATCGGCTCCCGCTGCAGTGCTGGCCTCATTTCCGCGCTTCCGCTCGTTCCGAATCGTTCTCCCGCTGCAGCGCTGGCGTCCCTATTTCCAATGCCATGCCACGGCATGGTTTTCGGTCCTTCCAAATAGGTCCCAAAATCTAAAAAATGACCTCCCGAAGCAACCATCGGAAGTGATTACACATTCGGTGTTGATTCGTTGATTTTCTGGGCCGCGGAAACATCCTCCCCCCACCTTGGGGCGTCGCCACGCTATGCTACGCAATGCTACTTGTTAATCTTCAACACCATGCTATGCCATGTAATGCTATGCCATGCTACGGCATCCGATTGTGCAAATAAAAAGGAGATCTACGCCATGGTAAGGGATGGGATTGAAGGGTCGGACGTCAGATATGACGCGAGCGCACTAGCTTGCCCTCCTTCCCCCTCCGCCCTCTCCCCCTCCACAATTACACAATATGAATACTGCTCTCTTCTCTCCCCTGACTCTGTCCGGAAAACGTTCCGTCCTCTCCGCGTATTGTCCATTGTAGACAATATGTAATGTATGTTGTTTATGTTTTTCCTGTGTTTTTTTCAATATGGTCGTTTCTGGTTATTCCACAATGGTGGTCCCGCCGCAGCGCCGCCCTCATTTCCGCGCTTCGGTCATCCATAGCTGTGCTCCCGCTGCAGCGCTGGCCTCGTTCACGCGCCTCCGGTAATTCCAAGTCGTGCTCCCGCAACAACACTGGCGTGCTCGGTCCTTCCAAGTAGCGCTGTTGCTATAGCGCTGGCCTCGTTCCACTGCTGCGGTCCTTCCAAATCGCGTTCCCTCTGCAATGGTGGCCTCATTTCAGTTTTCGGTCCTGGCCTCGTTCCCCGCTCGAACCCTTCTACATCGCGTTCCCGCTGCAGCGCCGGTCCATGTCCGACTGTGCGAATAGATCGGAGATCTTTGCCGTGGTAAGGGATGGGAGGGAGGGGTAGAATGTCAGATGCGACTCTAGCCTCTAGCGCACCTGGTTTGTTCCCTCCCCCTCCCCCTCCCCCTCCTCCTGTTCCTCCTTCTCCTTCGAATTATTATTCCCCTGCGGCCCCAGGGCGGCCCTGGCGCCCCTGGGGAAGAAGGAAAAATGGAGGATAAGAAAAAGACAGGACAGGACATCCGCATAAAGGGGACGCAACGTCAGAGCACCTGCTCAGGTGACCTACGCGCTTCTGTCAAAATCCATTGCGATTGGTTGTGCTACAGACCTGCCTTCCACCTAGGGCCAGCAGGGGGCATGCCACGTAGCACACAAACCGAATTCCAAGGTGGCCCCGTCGGAGAGGCTCGGTACCTTACATCGCGAAGCCCTGCGGGTTAGCGCGGGGGGAGCGGCTGCTAGCCCTTCCGCATGCCCCAGGGGAAGGGACGCGCGGGCTTAGCTGAACGCCCAGGCCAGGCGGGGGGGAGGGGACGATGACACGAACTCAAAAAGAAGAGAGGGGGGAGGGACGGAAGGCCCGAAGCCCCAAACTGTTGCTGGGGGAGCAACCTTTTCTATTGTATTAATTCCGTGCTCCCCTCTCCCGCTCGGCCCATTTCTCGGCCATTCCGAAAGATGCCCCATGCATTGTCGCATCTGCACTCTCTGTTGAAGTACCCCATCTTTCCCCCTCGAAGTGCATGTGAGGTATAGCGCACTGGTGGTCACGGTATATGTACGGCAAATGAGGAGCACACTGGTGGGCTTCCTGATGATCGCATTTTTCTCCTTCGACACCCTGCAGTAGTGTACCTGTCGACACGCCCAAACATCCTTTCGACTGCGATGGCGGGGCGAACGCTCCTTGGAACCCAGTCTGTCTGTCATGAGTTGCATTCAGAGAAACCTCGCCAATGCTCCTCCTGACTGCCTATGGGCACGGCCAGCTCGCAGCTTGCCTAGAGTTGCACTCCAAACAACCTCGCTAATGCTTTCCCTTGGCATGCCAGCAGGCTCCAGTGGGTGCGCTCACTCGTGGCCGCTGGAAGGGCTAGCCGCAGCCGTTTCCTCCGACTTGGGGTGGCCGAACTTTGCCGCGAAGATTTCGGTGCCATTCAGCACGGTCTGCGTGTTGTCTCGTAGCTTCTGGCGCTCCTTCAGCCTCTTCACTTCCGCTGGGTCACTGTTGCTATCGTTGTTCAGCTCCCTTATGGCGGCCTTCATTACTTTGTGGAGGTTCTCTTCGTTGTTTTTCGCCGTCTTCAGCGCCGGCCCGCGCCAGCTCTGCGCAGCGAAAGTCATCCTCCCTGCTCTTTCCCACGGGTCGACCGGGCACCTAGCGGCGAGGTCGCGAGCTTCGACCTTGTGCGCCATCGGGAAGGGCACGGGGAGCAGCTCGAATAGCTCATCTGGGCTCATCTTCTGGGCCGCGTCGAAGAACTGGTAGTGGCGCTCCTTGATGGCGTCGTCAAATTGCCGCGGTAGCCATTCCGCAATGAGCGCTTCCTATTTAACCCCCAGCTTGAGCTCCACCGCCCTCGACGGCCCACTCTTGAATCGTCGGAACTTGCACCCGCGCCCGATATTTGGCCACCCTTCGCAGTCGGCCCCGAACGTCTCCTTCGTCTCGCCCACCCATTCCGTCATAGGCACGTTCTCTGGGCGACTCCCCTGCGCCTTGACAAGCTGCTACCAGTCCACCTTGCACCAGAACTGCTACTTGCCCCCCTCTCGAGCTGGGGCCGGGGCCTCTCCGCCACAGCATGTTCGGGGGGGCGGGCCCGCGCGAGCGAGCTCCCCCCCTCGTATCGCCCCGTCCAGCGCCTCTCCTGCTGACGCTGAACAGCTGCATGTTGTCGCTCCACTTGTCCACGAAGTCCCGCGCCTTGAGGAGCTCTGGCTGCTTATCCCCCTTGTTCTTCGCCGTCTTGTACTCACCCACCTCGCGTGGCTCTTCCTCTTCCTCCTCCAACTCTTGCTCGGCCACCTTCAGCGCATCTTCGTCATTGACGTCCATGGCCATGCACTTGCTGAATAGGATGTC